TTGCTGAAACATAAGGCATCTCCCCGAAAATAAGACCTCCCCCAAACATTAAGGCCTCCCCGATAATAACGCCCCCCAAAGCTACTGTAACTCTGGACTCTGGACCATAGCGGCAGGCGCCGCCCCGCGCAGCTCACTCTTGGCCACAGTGCAGCCGGAGCAGACAGGAAGTGCGAGTAAATGTACCATAGAGTGTTGTACATGGAAATAATGGTAGTAACAAGAAATTCTTGATACTGTGGGATTCAGTTTGTCTGGTTATGCTGATTTGTGATGACAACTACTACTGTACCGTATACAGGTAATAAATTTCCTTTTTTGTTGTTCAACAATAAACGTGTACCATTTCTTCTTCATGCAAAAATAAGATATCCCCTGAAAATAAGACCTAGTGCATCTTTGGGAGCAAAAATTTATATATGACTCTGTCTTATTTTTGGGGAAACAGGGTAGTAAGTCCAGGGAGAAAACCACTCTTCCAAAGCCAAAGGGCAGCATCTGCCCAAAACCAAAGTTCAGAAAGCAGGAAGAGGGCAAAAAAAGAGATGGATGGAAAATGGGAATTCAGTGAAGAAGTGTTCTTAAAATGAGGAATGGCAGTTACTATTATGAAACAAAATGCGTATAAGTTATTGGACAGAAAAATAATTTGTTCTGTAAACTTTCACCACCCACTATAAAAAATTAGTTATATATACTAGCAAGCAACAAATGGAAATATACTATAGACCATCAACAAGTGAAAATTGAAATTGAAAAGCAATAAATAGTACACAGATAAAAGAATGATATGTTTGTATTATACTGTTTGTTATACAAGCTATTTTAATGAAATGGTATAATGTCTTAGTTTGTTTAAAATACTCTTTAAAATACTCCCCAACACCAAGACAGGAAAAATGTTTATTATTGTTGAAACAGGGTAAGGAATTCATAACACTAACCAGCTATTTTTTATATCCTATGTGAGGAAATTTCCATAATAAAAAGTGTTTTGGGTTTTTTTTAAAGAAAAAGACATTGTGAAGAAAGTGAAATGACAAGATACAAGTGAGAGAAGATATCTAGGAGACACATGGCTGTCAAAGGATTAGTACTAAAAATACTTAAAGAAATCTTTATACAATAGTTTGGGGAGCACTGAAAATGAAGGAACTAAAGTTCATCATTCATTCAAATAATATGAATAAGTCTTAGCAATCAAATATTAAGTGGAAAAGTTAGTCTCTGAAGATTACAGAAAACATAATATTTTTCATAGAATTAAATATAACTAAAATGAAACAATATATTCTTTTAGGAATACAAATAAGTATACATTAGAGAAAAACAAGACTTCTTATTTGAACAGTTTTCAGGCAAGAGCAAATTTTCAATGAAAATTTTAAACAAGGGGGATCAAGATCCTGAATTATTTCTTGGAGGAACTGCAATGGAAGAGACGTAGCTTTACCAGTTCAATACTGAAGACAAAGCACAATCACAGCCATGGCTACCAAGAAATGCAAGTGGTGGGGTCAGCGTAAAAGTGGATCTGTCAAGAAGTCCATTTGTCATGGCAATACGTTGTTTTTATTCTTTTTTTGGATGCTCAAGGCAATTTCTCAAGGAATTGATAAACTATTAATGGAAATATTTCAACAACGGATGCAATGCTGGCAAGCACTCACTAATCTATGTCAAGAAATTTGGAAGGTAGCTACCTCGCCAACTGACTGGAAGAGATCCATATTTGTGTCCATTCTAAAGAAAAGTGGCCCCCAAAATGCAGAACTTATACAACAATATCATTAATATGACTTGCAAGTAAAATTTTGCTGTATATAATTCAAAAACAGTTTCAACAGGGTGTTGTCAGAAATTCAAGCCGGACACAGACGAGGATGTGGAACCAGGGATATTATTGGTGATGTCAGAGGGTTCATGCTGAAAGCAGAGAATATTAGAAAAATGTTTACTTGTGTTTTATTGGCTATGCCAAGGCATTCAACTACACTATGCAAAGAATGGGATCATAACAAACTACGCAAAGAATGGGAGTTCCGGAAAAGTTCGTTGTGCTCACCCAAGATTTGTACATGGACCAAGAGGCAGTTTTTTGAACAGAACAAGAGAACACTGCCTGGTTTAAAATGAGGAAAGGTGTGTGCCGGGTGTGTACCCTTACAGCATACGTATTCAATCTGAATACAGAGTGAACAATCAGAGAAGCTGGACTATATGAAGAAGAATGCAGCATGAGGATTGGAGGAAGAATTATTAGCAACTGCAATATACAGATGACACAGCCATGCTTGTTAAAAATGATGAAAATCAAAGACTGTGACCTTCAATATGGACTGCAATTCGGTGTCAAGAAAACTAAAATCTTCACAAACTGAATCAATGGATAACATCATGATCAAGGGATAAAAAATGAAGTTGTCAAGGATTTCATTTTGTTTGGTCCATAACCAGTGCTCATGGAAGCAGTAGTTAATAAGTCAAATGAAAAAAAGAAAAGAAATATATCTGACATATTGCATTGGGAATATCAGCTGCACAGACCTCTTTCAAGTGTTAAAAGAGCAACGATGTCGTTTTGACAACTAAGGAGCACCTGACCCAAGCCATGGCGTTTTCAACGACCTCATATGCAAGTAAAAGCTGGGCAGTGAATAGAGAGGGAGGAGGACTGGTGCATTTGGAGTATGGTCTGGTGAAAAATATTAAACGCACCATGGACTACCACATGTGACCTCCTCCTTGGGGGACAGACAACAGGAAAGTGGGTGAAGGGAGACGTCAGACAGGGCAAGATATGACAAAATAATAATTTATAAATTATCAAGGGCTCACGAGGGAAGGGGGGAGGGAGAGGATAAAAAGAGTACCTGATGCCAGGGGCTTAAATGGAGAGCAAATGTTTTGAGAATGATGAGGTCAATGAATGTACAAATGTGCTTTACACAATTGATGTATGTATGTATTGTGATAAGAGTTGTATGATCCCCTAATAAAATGATTAAAAACAAACAAAAAAACCCAAACGAATCTGTCTTGGAAAAAAGTACAACCAGGGTAGGAAGTGAGCATGGTCACACTTTGTCTCAAGTACTTTTGACCTGTTATCAAAGTACAGGGACAATAAATAAGAGGAAGAATCTCAACAAGATACCTTGACACAGTGGTTGCAGCTATTGGCTCAAACATCAAAATAACGAGGAGCATGGCTCAGGTGTGGGCACGGCTACATTCTGTTGTGTGTAGGGTCCCTGGGAGTCAGAACTGGCTCAATGACACCTAACAACAATCTAGCAGCAACAAGGCATTTTGCAGACTGACTTTCTGGGGGACCAAAGAATGATAGCATCGGCTTATTATGGGAGTATTTTGAGACAGCCAACACTTTAGCAGAAAAACACCAGGGAAAGCTTCACCAATGTTCTCCATGACTACACTCCTGCTCATTCCTCTCATCAAACAAGGGCAACTTCGGTAACATATCAATGGGACATCGACAGTAGATATGCACTTTATACTCCTGATTTGGTCCCTTCTAACTTCTGTTTATTTCCTAATCTTAACAAAAAAATTTTTTTAAGATTAAAAATTTTTTCTTTAGCTAATAATGGGGGAAAAAAACCGACAAATTCTCGGGATTCTCAATACTTTAGGGATGGACTACATCACTGGTATTATGGCTTATGAAAGGGTCTTGACCTTAATGGAGATTACGTTATGAAATCAAACTTATATACTTTATTTTTATCTTTTCATTCTAATTTTCCATGACCTTTTTGAAGTTGAACTCCTATAAAAAGGGATGTGGGAGAAAAACATACTTTTTATGACTACATATATATGAAATAAACATGTGAAACTGAGTGAGAGAATAAGGAATACATAGTTTGGTAATGAGAGACAGGGATATGAAATGGAAGAGAACTATATA